CTCCCACCCGGTGCTGGGGACCGGGCTAGGAGCGCAGAGGGAAGGCAGGTCCCCGCCGGGGCAGGCTCCCGGAAAGGGACACGAGGACCGCGCAGGTCACTGGGAGGGTTAGTGACGTCACACACGCCCAGGGGTCACCCAGCGCCGGGCACAGGTCACTGGGAGGGTTAGTGACGTCACACACGCCCAGGGGTCACCCAGCGCCGGGCACAGGTCACTGGGAGGGTAGTGACGTCACACACGCCCAGGGGCCACCCAGCGCCGGCACAGGTCACTAGGAGGGTTAGTGACATCACACGCCCAGGGGTCACGCGTCGTCGGGGCCGCTGGTGCACGTCATCAGTAACTAGGTCATCAGTAACCAGGTCATCAGTACCCAGCCTGCAGGAGCGGAGAGTTATTCGAGGCGTGAGAGCCAAGGGCAGCTGCGGGCGCTGGAGGGAGCTGCAGAGGCGGGAGGAGGGTTGCCAGCTGGAGGGGAGGAAGGCGGCTGCAGGAGCGCTGGCAGCCGGTGGGGAGGCCGGCCGAGCCCGGATGAGGGAGGGGGGCTGTCATCAGTAACCAGGTCATCAGTACCCAGCCTGCAGGAGCGGAGAGTTATTCGAGGCGTGAGAGCCAAGGGCAGCTGCGGGCGCTGGAGGGAGCTGCAGAGGCGGGAGGAGGGTTGCCAGCTGGAGGGGAGGAAGGCGGCTGCAGGAGCGCTGGCAGCCGGTGGGGAGGCCGGCCGAGCCCGGATGAGGGAGGGGGGCTGTTAGGTTAGGCCAGTGGTCGGCAAACTCATTAGTCTACAGCGCCAAATACCAACAGTACAAAGATTGAAATTTCTTTTGAGAGCCAAATTTTTAAAACTTAAACTCTATAGGTAGGCACATTGTTATTAACTTAGGGTGCTCCTAAGCTGGCCTTTGCTAAAAACGTCCTCAATCTGATTGAGGTCTGTTCGCTGAGGTCGACCCCTTCCAGCTCTCCCATCCACACTCCTCTTGTATACTTGTTTCGTCTCCTTTCCAAAAACCGACTTCTGCGTATGGGCCACGAAGTTTATCACACTGTGTACGTGCACGCCCGCACTTCTCTCCTCTCCGGCAAGACGCGACCCCGCCTCCAGCTTCACAGCCAGCCTCCCTGGGGGCTGAGGGATGAGGCAGAGCGCGGCGCTCTCACCTTGGCACCCAGGACTCCCCGCCTCCTGGGAGGGCGGGCACCCTCCTGTGCCCTGGGAGGGAAGGGCTGCCGGCTCCAGGGTCCCATCCAGGGGACAAGCCTGTGCCGTGGCAGCGGGTCCGACAGGCGGGGGGGTGGGAGGGGGGGGGCCAAAGCCCCG